ATCCGTTTTGAAAACCGCTTCAAAATGCTTGAAGTAGACTATTTGTCATAATTGCTACGTTACTAAAAGTAAAATCTATTTGCTCTTTACATGGTGTGTTTGTGTTTATGGGTGTGGGGGGGGGTTGAAAATTTGAAAAGCAAATGCAGTGCATGCTTTTTGAAGAAAAAAAAATTTTTTTTCGAAAGCTTCATCAATTTTCTGAAAATGACGTCAATTATAATCTCATCACCATTTCAGTTGTCCCATTAGTTTTTTTGCCTTGGTTATTCATTTCAAAAAACATTTGCTTTGCTAGCATTTTTTAGAATTTTTTAGAAATTGGACTTTCGGGTGGTTAAAATAAATTTGTTTATAAACCTTTTGTGAATCAAAGTTGACGCAGTGTCAACTATCAACATTTTAGATTGGGAAGCCAAGATGCAGCCATTTGTGGAACTCGTAAGCGTCAGCAGCAAAAAAAAACAATTTTTATTGTGTTTTTAGTGGTTCCAATACTTTCAACAATGTGAACGGCTTTTCTGATGGTTAAATTCAAAATTAATTTAACTTTATCACCAAAACGGCTTCGTTTCACAGAGGAGAGTTACGTACTACTTTGAAGTTTGCGAAAGATATACTAAAAAACTGCATGGTTGACGACGTTGGCAAGAAAGACATCAAATCTTCACAAAAAACTATTGTGTCCAATTTGTCTTGGGTCGTAGTATCCTTTTATCTGTTTTCTTTTCAATTGTTTGATCCACAAAATGGAGAAATTAGGCACGATAATCCCAATAAACAAGTTTGAGCTTATAATTTAAATTTTTTCTGTCCTTATATATAATTTGTGAGTCATTTTGTTTGACTGCTTTAATAAACTCTCCAAAACAAGTGTCATAGATTTTGATCCAGAAAATTCCTTAAAATTTTTTTTATCATCTGCGTGTCAATGTTTCGCCCTTTCAGTGTTCGCACAAAAAATCACAAAGAAGTCAAGAAAAAATTTGTTTAATTGATCGGTTAGCAAAATAGTTCAACTTCAATGACACTTGGCTGAAAAATTTTAGTTTCAACAAACTTGACCTGTTGTTTTCCGCACATATACCTTCACTTTTAATGCGTGAGTCTAACTTCCGATTGCAGATTCATCAATAAATAAGTATTTATTTCTAATCGCCCAATCTGATAAAGTCTCTGTAGCGAACGAATTAAGCTGATATCTTGGTGATAGCAATCTTAAAATGCTCTAAAATGCTTTTTTTGTTTCGCGTGAGAGTTTTCAAGGCAAAATCGAGTATTTGGGAGGCTTGGGTGACTGGGGTGACTTGGGAGAGCTTGGCAAAACAATTTGGTCGAGCTAATAAGCGAGTAAACACTTAAAATTTGTCCTCTGCCCTGCGAGCAAACCAGTTATATATCGCGCGCCTGGTGTTCTAGACTTCTGATGTTATTGTTTCTAGATTCTAGATTTCTGAAGTTACTGCTTCTAAATTCTAAGTTTTTGATGTTTCTGCTTTTAGATTCTGAATTTCTGGTGTTATTGCTTCTAGATGCTAGATTTTTGATGTTACTGCTTCTGGATTCTGGGCTCCCAATTTAATTGCTCCTAGATTTTAGATTTTTGATTTTTTTGCTTCTAGATTCTAGTCTGATTTATTGCTTCTAGATTTCAAATTTTTGATGTTATTATTTGAGGATCTAGATTTTTGATATTATTGCTTCTATATTCTAGATTTATGATTATTTTATTGCTTTTAGGTTCTAGATTTTTGATGTAATTGCTTGATGACTCTAGCTTTTTGATATTACTGCTTCCATATTCTAGAGTCCTGATGTTATTACATCTAGGATTCAGATTTTTCATGTTATTGCTTCTAGATTTTAAATTTCTCATGTTTTTATTTTCAGGATCTAGATTTTTGATAATATTGATTCTAGATTTTGGATTGTTGATGTAATTGCTTCTATATTCTACATTTACGATTATGTTATTGCTTTTAGATTCCAGATTTTTGATGTAATTGCTTATAGACGCTAGACTTTTGATATTACTACATTTAGAAGCAGTAATATCAATTTAGAAGCAGTAATATCAAAAGTCTAGCGTCTATAAGCAATTGCATCAAAAACTAGAAACTAAAAGCAACAACATAATCATAAATGTAGAATATAGAAGCAATTACATCAACAATCCAGAATCTAGAATCAATATTATCTAAAATCAGATCCTGAAAATAAAAACATCAGAAATCTAAAAAGTTTGATTCTAGAAGCAATAACTTCAAAAATCTAAACCATGGATGTATTTGCTTCTAGATACTAGATTTCTGATGATGTTATTGCTTCTAGATTGTTGTTACATTTAGAAGCAGTAATATCAATTTAGAAGCAACAACAATCTAGAAGCAATAACATCATCAGAAATCTAATATCTAGAAGCAATTACATCTATGGTTTAGATTTTTGAAGTTATTGCTTCTAGAATCTAGTTTTTTTGAAGTTATTGCATCTAGATTGTTGCTATTTTTTTTCCAGATTCCTCAAGATAAAAACATTTGTGAACCATCTAAAGAAAATTGAACCCTTTCCTATTTTCCCACCCTCTGATAACCAAAAGAGTCCTCGTGTTTTTTTCCGAGAAAAGGTATTTTTGGAAGCCGTTTTTTTGGCTTAAATAATAAGCAGGTCATTTTCTGGAAATATTTGTTTTATGAAAAAAATCTGCTTTAATGTTTTTTAAGCAAAATTAGTTTAACCTGAAGAAGTTTATCGAGGATCAATTTAGTGCTGCTTAAAATGTCTCGACCTTGTGCTCTCCAAACTTCAATGTTCTGTCACCTCCATTCTCGGGTTAATCTTTTTAGATAAAAACCAGTTTGAACAAGCTTTTCCCCTTCATATATTATCTAAAAGTAGCAGCGCAACCTACCTTGTATTTCTTTTAAAGACAAGGAAAGTTTGGGAACGTTCATGATGCTTGAAAAGTTCGTTAGTTCCTGAAGAGACTTGAAATAAAAAGCACAAATAAGATAAAAAAACACCCGAGCTTTTCATTTCTATTGAAAAAATTAATTTACCAAAAAGTTTCTGAATTACGCTGCAAAATTTAATCAAGAGGACAAAAGCGTACAAAAGCGTCAAATTAAAAAAAAATTATAAAACCATTTTTTGCGAACTTCAAGGGGTTCAAAAATTTTCAATTTGTCCATGCTCTGGACTAATTTAAGCGTGCTGCAAACATAATATTCTTGATGCTGAAAAAAACTGTGCGAGCAATTTAATCGAGCGCAGTTATTTATCCCGCATTTATAGTTCCAAATCGAAATAAGGCCACCTAATTGGTCGCAATTGGAACCAGATCTAAACTAGAATTTGTCATTGGTTATTATTATGATATTTTATCTCTATAAAATATTAAATACTAACCAATCATACTCCATCAAACTAACAACCTATTTATTTGTAAAGTGTTGAAACTACTTGTAGTTTCAACACCAGAGCAATTTGAATTAAACTTAGAATACAGTTGTTCCCATTCTGGAACTAACTCGCATAAACCGGTGTACACTAGATCTATTGAGACTAGGAGATATAAGAGTAAGATTAAGATCGGTATTAGACTAAGAAGTTTCACGAATCTATCCGGCCGAAAATAAGATAGCGTGACCGTGACGAGCAGACGGTGTACCTTATCTGAAATTACTCTATGAGTTATAACTAAAAGGATATAACTCACAATGATTCCCCACGGCTCAAAACTAAACACTTAGTTTTTAATATTCTAATTTATAGCTTTTCTTTTTCTGAAATTAAACTTATTTGAAATCAGACAAGGAAAAATCGGAACAATCAGGGCTTTGCTTTAACATACGACCACACAGCCTTACTGTCCGGAACACACTGAAAGAGTGGAAGGCAACTATGGATTGGATTCACTTTTTCAATTTCGTCTAGCCATATTTGAGTAATTCAAGGAAAGTTCGAAAATGGCACGCGCGTATCATATAACAAGATTGCTCAAATCAGGGCAAAACTCTGAATGTTCCAACTGCCCATTAACTGGTCTTGAATAATTGATTTTAGCACATGAAATATTGACAAACTACAAATTTTGGCAGATAATATCAAAGTAATAAAACTTGAGCAATCACAAGATTTCCGGATTGATGCACATACGCAAATTCTAAATTCTAAAACTGGTATTGAAAAAACCTACCCTGGGTATACGGGCATATAAATTCCTAAGTTTCTTCAAAAGTCGGAACAAAAACCACATTGGTCGGGATTTAAACTTCCTGAAAAATATCAAAGGATTTGTCTCGGTGCTTGTGTGCTGTTTTTGATTTTAGACCAAATTAGATGAAACTTGGTTAAAGATGACCTCCAGCTACTGAAACTTGAACGATATATTTTAATAATTTTTAACTGCAGTTTTGCTATTATCTTTGATTTTTTTTTCCGCATAATTCAATCAATTAATACAACAAAAAACGTAAAAACTTTACTAAACACTTAACTCTTTTACTGTTTTAAATTTTTTTTGGTGTATTCACGATCACTTTGGTTGCAACATGATGTGCAACTTGCACGGCAACTTGATATCCTTGTTGTTTTGACATTCGAATAAAGTGGCCGAATATTTGTGCTCGGGTGGTTTTTTCTCCAGACAAATTTCGATTTTCTAACTAGCAAGATTTGACGGAATTTTCGCGTTCGAAGGTTATTTTTGCCATTCGAAAGTTATGTAGCCTTGGGCTCAAATTTAAAAAGATATTTTACCTGTGATCATTTTTATGGTGGTTTAAAGATTGCTAATTTGGCCAATTTGTGACAATTAACGCGCGATAGATTTCTTGATCAAATACTGACGGTGTATTAGAACGTCTCGGTCAAAATATATATTAAAGACTTTGTGCCGGGTATCAATATATGTAATGAGACTTCAGCAGAAAAAAAACGCTGAGCACCGATCAATTCCAATAGAGTCAGATCCGGTGTACGAAATACAAAATGTCTACTAAATTTCAATTCATTTGCCCCAAGTGACACGTTTCAAAGTGTCTCTAATCCTTTTTGCAACTAGTTTGTTTCAAACTACAAGAAGCCTTCGTAGAGAGAAACCAGCATTCAGCTGGGGCTCATATCAAGATAGTTGAGAAAACTAACTTAACTTTATTTTCATTGACAACTAACATAGTGCCCGATTGTAACTATAAAATAATTTGAACTACCAGGTAGTTACAACCAGCTGGAGTTATTTGGTCATAAAGTTAACACTATATGTTCTTAAGGTAATAAAGCAAAGGAACAATACAATGAAAAGAAGTCAAAGCGCTTCAAAATAGTGTTTTTTATAAAGTTTTGATTTTTCCTGCAGCTTGGATTTACGGTTATATTATGGTTATATTGGAGCTTACTTTAAGATTATATTACAAAACAAAATGCCCAATTCTCTTCATATACTTTAAAAGTCGAGGTGACCAAACTGAAAGTAAGTTTGCCATAGGATCGATATAATATTAAATCGGCAGGTTGCCTGCATGCGACATGCTAAATGCTATGTATGTATTCACAGTTAGTGCTATCTGAGGAAATTGGGGTGCAAAAAGTAGTCTTGGTTTGAGAATGTTTTGGCAGGTCTCAGAACCAGCAGAGAAATAAACGGTCCCCCACTCCTCAACAGTAGATCCCTGACTTCTTCATTTGTCAGGCAGTCAACGGGGGTGTCGTTGATCTAAGCAAACAAAACCAGGATTAATTTCTGATAAAGCAGAACGATACGGAACTGAAACTGAATTATGTTTAAGAATCACTTAACCTAACCTATCAACTGACCAAGTCAAAAATACAAAAAAAAAGAAAATCGGAAAACAAGAGAAAAATCAAAAAACTAAAATCCTGTATCCTATACTGAGTTTATGCGAGAAGATCAAACAGCAGAATCATTTTATAGAAACAATTGAACGTTTTATTTAAAAGTAGTTCAATCAGAAACATACATAGGTATTTCTCAACGATTCCTTTCCTCAGATATTGTCGACAAGACCACCTTCATCAGCCATTATAAGATAACGCTGGTAAGAACTTTCAGAAAAATCTCCTTACATGAGTTAAATTTTTAAAAAATATTACCATAGTGTTTTGAGAAGATCGTTTCCCCAATACTTAGTGATATCTTCAATAAAATTGTAACAAAACGTATTATCCAAATTATCTGAAAGTTGATACAGTTGTCCCCTTGCAAAAAAGAGGCAATCGATTAGTGTGCACCAAATGTCGACCGGTTTCTCTCCCTCCCATTTTCAGTCAAATGTTCGATAAATTATCCAATAAAACGCTGAGTGAAGTCTATTACAAAATATTATAATATTGGTCAAATAATTTAGTTAGCAGAACGGAAGGCCTACAATTAATGCAATAGTGGATCTCTTAGAAAGTATGTTACAGGGCAAACACCATAAGAATCTGAATTTTTCATGTTTCTAGATCTGATCAAGACCTTTGATACTGTTGATGATTCCGTTCTACTTGCAAAATGCCAAATGTATGGCTTAAGGGGCCCTGTTCATTCAATCGTAAGACCTTATCTCTCTGATATAAAACAGTTCGTTTGCCATCAATGTGTTTCGTCAAATATGAAACCAGTGGAAACTGGAGTCCCGCAAGGATCAGTAATTGGTCCAATGCTTTTCCTGCTCTATATAAATGATCTATTTCCTAAAGCAGAAAGGAGTTCTGAAATAATTTTGTTTGATGATGGTACAACTTCTCATGGAAAATTGAAAAACATTGAAAGTATAGAAAGCAATCTTACAGAAATATCAATATGGATGGCAGCAAAAAAATGACAACGAGTACAAGGAAAACTCAATTTAATGCTACAAGCTGAAAAAACACTTTCGCAAATTAAATGGAGCACTCAATTTCTCAAAAAAAAGCTAAAATGTGAAACACTTAGGCGAAACCATTCCATGGTTTCACCTAAGTGTTCACATTTTGGCTTTTTTCGAGACATTGAGGGCACCATTTAAAAACTTCTGACCTAATTCGAAAAAGTTTAACAATTTTCTTTCAATTTTATAAACACAAACAGTCACTTGATAACAGTTTCTTGGTAACAAAACTTCGAAAACGTTTCTGAAAATACGCCCAGACGTACATATCCACTCACAAGAATTGTTTTAAACTACCGACTGACTATATGTGCGTTCTGGCATACCAACCTCTAACACTAGATGTCTTAATGCAATTTTCAGCAATTTTTTATTCAGTTCCACTCGTCAAATGTCATGTACTTTGCAGAGGCTTTTTACGCGATAGCAAATCGTAGGCGGAGTTTTTATCAGTCAAAAACTACCGTTTCCTTGCCACCGCCAAAATATGATAAAAAGTAGCTTAATGCAAATATTGAAGACATCCTCCCTGGACATTTTATTCAAACTTAAATTATTCAAAAGGTCTAGCAGGAGAAGCTTCTAACTTCTATATGATTTTGTAAAGCTCTCATTAAAAACTTACGTGTGCGTGATTTCGGAAAAAAATTACAAATGTATCGGCCAAAAGTATGTAATAGATTTTAATTTGAAATTTTTTTTTTCAAATTACCGGGGTTGGGTATCTTAAACCTTAAATTACACATCTTAAATCTTGAATGGCAATTAGGATTATTCCTAAGGCTAGCCATAAAATAATTTCGATCAGACTCAGACCCACAGTAAATTGTCCTATACTAGTACTCGGAACTTGGTTTTAAAATAGCAAACGTACCAGGTAGAAAGAAAGTTTTCAAAATTAGTCCAACAATCAAACTGTTACCTCCAATATTTGGTCTCCGACCTTGAGACGTCCATCAATGTCAGCCGGGCTGTCCCGCACGATTTGAGCAATCATAATTTTATTGGATATTCTGAAACAGCACAAGCAGAGCAATTAATTCCTTCTCAATCCTTCATATCGTTTTCCTATCAAAATCGATCAAGTTTGACTGCCACTTGATGCAAGGCAAGTTGTTCTGGATTCATAAATGAATCGTATATTCAAAAGATAAGCTGTAATTTAAAATGACATTTGCATGCAAAACTTTCAAATTTAAATTGAAATTTGATTTGATTTCCATTAAGCAAATAGCTAGCATCACCTTTTTGTGCAACCAGTAGCATGCACAGCAATTTTTCTAGAGACGGCAGTTTTTCGATAAACTTTGAAAATTTTGTCGACTTTTTTTTAGGTCGACCAATTTGATTTTCAGAGCTCTCCTTAAAGAGTATAAGGACCCTGTTTTGTTAAGGGGAATTTTCCAAGCAAATTGTTCAAAAAGCAGGTCAAAAAATGCGTTTTTAAGCACTTTTTTTGAAAAATTTGACTTCAAAATTGCGTTTTTTTTCGTGCGCGCTTCCCCCTCAAAATTTCCCCCTCAGCACGCTACTGGTCGTGACTTTTCATTAACTCTAAAAACCAAATATAATTTGATTTTCTCTGAGAATGAGCTTTGATTAAGAACAAGTCTCGAGGCACAGCCAGTCAGCCAAGTGATTGGAAATTAATTTGAATCACTCGACGTGAAAAGGAGTTCTAAATATGGCATTAGTACATTCGAACAAAAGGTCTGTTTATTTTACCTCCAGCCGACAAAAACCCCACGCTTCTACTAAAAATAGGGGTTGAGACAGTGTGACAGATTTTCCGCATTTCGAGAACAAGAAGAAACGAACAAGATTAACATAACTAATGTGATAGGAGTTTAAGTAAAATCGTTTTGGTTCCCCATTTAAAATAAATCGTTTACCAAAATTGGTTTAAAATTTTGCTCAGTTTGTACAACACGTAGATCTCCACTACAATTGAATTTTAAAAATAACAAGACTGCTCGTAACAGGGCGAAGCCTTGAATATTCCGACTGCCTTTTAAGGTTTATAGAGCATTGATAACATGAAAAATTAAATGTAATAAAAAAATGAATGGCGAAAATGTTAATGATTAAGCCCCCATAACTTTGCAAAAAATGATCTCAAGTGAAATATCTTTTCAAATTTAAGATGAGGAACAATACATTTTGAATGATTTTAAAAAAAAATTCCGTCAAAAATGGCCAAGTAAAAAGTCAAAATGTGTCTGAAAAAAAAACACCCCGAGCACAAACACTTCATTACTTTTGTTATAAAAGCCGAAGCAATTAGGAACTTAACCAACCGTGAAACATGAAATCAATTCAAATCTCATCAGCCGATGACCTGAAGCTGTTCTGGAAAATCTTACACTATTATCGCAATTAAACTCCAATTAGGAACTAAACTAAGATTAATTAGCAATCCAGGCTAAAGTTGTAAAAATAAACGCAATTTTTTGAATTTCGGAACAACAAAGCTGATCGTATGATCATTTTAGTGTATCGAAACCTTACTCCAAACCAAAAAGTGGTGGTAATGAGAATTGTCCTTTTTTTTCATGCAAATATTTCTACCCCAAAATTGGCCATTGACGTCAATTGGTAACACAAACTTTTCACTCTAGAATCGTTGTATAAATGTTCTTGATATTGAGAAAAAATAGTCTACAGAGTTATGTTTAAACATAATTAATGTTTTCAGTTGCAAAACTTGACTACCCATGGTTCCGTTTTATTAATCAGTGAAAAACTGAAAAATATGTCGCGCGTTAATTGTCCTAAGTTGGCAAAAATGGCATGTTTTAAACTCCAAAACTGATCGCAGGTGGAATATATTTTCAAATTTAAGCTCAGGAAAACAATATTTTTTGATTGATATAAGAAATCCCGTGAAAAATGGCTAGTTAAAAAGTCGAAACTTGTCTGAAGAAAAAAACCCCACCCCGAACACCCCAAATATTCCGTTTTTTTTTCGTTAGAAAAGTCGGAACAACAAAACGGTTCGTATCACGACAAAGTTCTGAATGCTTCGACTGCCTTTTAAGGTCTATGGAACAATAATAAAATGGAAAAAATGAACTTATAAAAAAAGAATCATTTTTTTTAAACCTTGAGATTTTCTTGAATTCGTCCTCCCACACGCCAAATAAAGTAGAAAATGATAAGTTTTGCTCGTAGTAACAAATCAATTATGACAAACAAGCTTCTTTAAACCAATTTGGAACAACTTCTATGACAGATAAATAGATAGCGCGTTAAATATCCTAAAATAACAACCTTGAAACCCCCATATCTTTACAAAAATGATCACAGGTGAAATGCCCAGGACAACAACACTATTTGAATGATATAACAAATTTCCGTCAAAAATGGCTAGTTAAAAATAGCCACTAAAAATGGCTAGAACAAAAACTCCCTCTTTTTCTCGAAAAAGGCCTTGAAGGTTCCGACAGCCCTTTGACTGGTCTTCAATTAGTTTTTGAGTACTGAAAATTATGAGTTTTTGACTAATAATACCAAAAGTTCAGTGTTAAAATTTGAGTGGCTTAGAAATTGATCCGAACAATTAGCTTGTCTCATCTCAGTTTAATTGTAATGCGGTATCATCCGCCAAGCAAAAAAAAATTCACAGTCGGCGTCAAAGTATCAACAAGACTGCTCGTATGCAGGCAAGCCTTGATTTTTCCGACTGCCCCTTAAACCATATCGATTAAGTTTTGGGAAAATAAAATCATTGGACAAATTGCAAAACTGAAAAAATTGAAAAAAAATAAACATTGGAAAATATCAATGATCAATTGTAAAAACTTGAGTCATACAAAATTAATACTGCCGACTACCTGGCCTCAATTCAATTTTGAACGATTTTGTTGTGCGAAATAGTTCGCCACACATAAATAATTTGTTATACGCTTTCAGCAATATGAATGAAATCTTCAAAGCTCACATAAAATGTTTCAGAGCATGACCTCATTGAAAGTTTTCAAATTAGCACAACTTTGCAAATGAAGATGGCAGATGAAATCTATTTTTTTACATTTGCTTTCAAGGAGTCAATCTATATAATGGATGATAAAAAACTGTCAAAAACTATAATTTTGATTGACGAAAGTTGACTGAAATAAAGAACCACCCCAAGCATAAATATTAAGTTTTTTTTGAAAGTTGGAACAAAAAAGCCGTTTGGAGAGACTCGCTCCAAAGCGATTTTATGAAAAAAAACTAGTATAGTGATGTGTGTGTGTGCCCACGCTGTAATCACAAAGAACCAAGCATCGATCCACCTGCTTGTTCACCACATTTTCAGTACCACATTGTTCACTTGATCCGAATCCAAGACTCATGTGAACAAAAAAAAATTTGGAACTCAGTCCGACTGAAAAAACTAATTCAACCACAAAGATTCCTCAATTTCTTTGGAAGTCGGACAAAATGAACGCTCGTAGCATCAGGCCATAGCCCTGAATAATCCGACTGCCTCTAAGGTTTAAGCAATGAATCAACTACATAAGAAACTTAAAATATGACAAGATGTCAAAAACAAGAATATATTTTCAAAGTTTTGTGTAGTTGAAAATATTGGCCGGCGAGCAAGTAAGTTACTCTTCTTAAAGTGGGCTAGAGTCTTGTTGTTTATTTATAGTTCTTACCAGGGACGGGACTAGGAGGTTCTCGAGGGAGGGGCGGTCTTTCAAAACTTTTGTCAACCAAATTGATTTTCTTAGCTCTCTTATCTAACTATAGAGACCATATTTCGACCAAGTTTTCTGCACCGCAGCCAAATTTCTGGAAAAAGCAGGCAAAAAAGGCTTTGGTAGAATAAAATGCAAAGTACAATTAAGAGCCAATTCAAATTGAACTTTTGAAACTCTTCGATATTTGAAAAACAATAAAATTGTTCTTTAATTTTTACTATAATTATGGTTTCCATGCTTAAACTACTTCTTTGCGGTACGTTTTTGCCTAAAATTTTAGTAAGTGAGATTTTATCTTAAGTAAACGAGGATCTTGTGCTGAAGGGAAGGTAACATTGTTCACTTGATCCGAATCCAAGACTCATGTGAACAAATCAGGGGCGGATTTAGGGGGGTATTAAATGTTCTCCCCCCCCCTTCAGGGATTCGACTCACTGTCAAACCAAAGGTTCCCCCTTTGTCACTATTTTATGACATCCATTTTTGGCTGACCGCCACTACTTTTTTTCTTAGGTGTCAATTTATACAAAGGCGCCTTAGGTGCCATTTTATACTTATTTTGAAAATTTGCCTGTGGCGCAAATAAAGGGTGAAAATGGGGTTCTTATACTGGTTTGTGAGAGGCTCAGAAAATCACTTTGGTCGACCTATAGAAAAAATTTCAGTTTTTTTGAAAGTCCGCCCCCCCGAGAAAACCCTGAAGCCGCCCTTGGAAAATTCCCCTCCCCGGGTGACCTTGTGCAAATAAAACGAGTCTTATGGAAAAGAGCGTGCCATGCTATTCTCATACAATTATTAAAGTTTTGTTTTCAAAACATTTCAAGCTTCAAAATAAAGATTTCTGTCTTGAAAATTGTTTTTTTTTCTGTCATAAAGCTTTCTAGTGATCAAAAAATGTTTCATATCGAAATGAAAATATGTTTTTCATGCGATTCTGCATTGCAATACATCTCTGAGATTCCTGCCATGTAACATGTGGTTTTTTTATTTGTGAAAGTCTTCGGCTAATGTGCTTTCGGACATAACACAAAAACATAAAACGAAAGTCACAAAAATATAATTTAATTGATAGATAAATATTATCCTCTAGCTTCCAAGTATTGAAAAGCAAAAATCATAAGTTTTCATAGTACGAAAAAATGCATAACATAGAGTTCTTATTAAATGGAAGAATTCTTATCTTATCAATTTTTTCGTTCAATTTTTTCAAAAGAATTGTATGGAACTGCATGATAAGCATTTTTTCATAATGTGGAATTCTGTGACAATCATTTTTTGTCAACTCGAACCGCATATTCAGTTTATCGCAAAGTCGTAACCAGTTTTCCCGAAAAATAATAAAAACTTACAGGTAGGTCTGGGTCTAGTCACTATTAACGCGGCAATCAGTGTTCGGTTCAAAGCATTATAGACCCGGGTGGCGGCCAGCACTTTTGCTTTCAAGTCAATGAACATATACTTTTCATTTTTTACAAAAATGTAGTAATCAACTGAATGAAAAAAAAAGTTTTTTTTAGCTTACTTTTTTGAAGAAAAAAAACAGTCTTAGTTTTTCAAATTAAATTAATTTTAATTTTTGACAAATTTGTGTGTTTATTTTATTAACAAGAGTTATTTTCAGCAAATAGGTTAAGCATTTCCTAAATAAACCAAACGAAGAATCATCCTCAAGCTTTCATTGACAAATTTATGAAGCAAAGCCAAGATCCAAGATTCTAAAATCTGATTTTTGAAAAAATAATGCTTTTTCTCAAGTGAACGATTTTCACCTTAAACTGAATTTGAGGGAAGTGTTGGGCTCGGTCGAAAACCATGAATCACTTTGACTGATCATACCGTTCCCGAAAACCCCCGGGTTGATCTCCATAGACCAAAAATGCTAATCATACAATACCATAATTTATGCCTATGAAAAAAACTAATCATACAAAATTCATTTATTTTGCAAAAAAAAAAATCATCAATTTTTTTAAATTTCCCTTGTTTGGCGTAAAATTCGATGTATCGTCATATCTTTTGTCAAAAAAATGCTAACCATACTATTTCCATATATGAAAATTCTATGACTAGCATTTTTTATGGCGACAGCGCGTAGTATCGAAATTGCAATTGCCCTCAAAATAGCGAGTACTATCGAAATTTTTTTTCAATTACAAACCGAATTTTATACTCAAATTAACATTTTCGGTAAATAAAGTTTGCAAGCAAAATTAGTTTTTTATGTGCATAACATAGTCCTGGATACACGAAAGTGATGTTTTTTTTTCATTTCTCAGGATACCTTTTTTCAAAAACGCTCAAAACGTTTATTTATTTTGTATGACATGCTTTTAAAAAGCTTGATCAATGCATGATTAATTTAAAACGCAAATTTGGAAAAAAAAATCACCTTCGAAATTTTTTGCCGAAATTTAAAAGTTTGATAATTTCATTATATCATATGTTTGGACGAAACTTAAACAATTCAGGCCATTTCGGATCAGTAAAATGACCGCTTCAAGCGGAAGCGGCCGGAAAAAGCGGTAACCAGTTGAAATAAGGGAAAACGGTGAAAGCGGAATGGTTTTTGCAAAAACGGCAGAAAAGCGCTCAGAGCACTACTCAATTTCAGAAAAGCGATTATTCACACATTGAAATTAGTTCTTTTAATGTTGATTCACAGCTTGAACTAATAGCTAACGACGACTAATTTTGTGTTTGCTTTTCAGATTATTGATTGCACGCGTTGTTTTGCACTTGTTTTTTCGCATGTGATTTATGCAATTGATTCACAAATTTATGGCTTTTCCTCAGGAGAAATACTTTGAATTTACGGACCCTCGACATTACAAAGCATTATGCAAATGGTGCAAAGCTTCAATACAATACTCTGGAAAAAATAAAACCAACTTGAAACAGCACTTTGAAAAAACTCACCCAATTGCTTACTATGAAGAAAAAAAAATTGCGAGAAACAACCAATCAAGACTAGTGTTATCCAGAGAAGGAGTTTCTACTACAATCCCAACTTTCCAGAAACAAGATGCAATAACCGAATCAATTATTGTGAATCATATTGGAAAAGGTGGACTCCCAATTTTGCTAGCAACTTGGGATTGCTTCAAAAAGTTCATGAGCCTCGTTGAACCTCGATGTTCATCACCTTGCTACAGAACAGTGATTGCAAAAATGGATGCAATTTGTGCAAAGAAAAAGACCGAAATTATTTCGAAGTTGAACAGATACAACTATTCAGTGGCCCTTGACGAATGGACTGGTTGTAATCGAAAATCTTTTTTGGGATGCACTGTCACTATCGTTGACCCGACTGCGTGTGAACTGGTGAGTAAACTACTGTTTTTTAAGGACTTGTGCAGTAGACGAGCCGACTCTTTGATGAGTCAAACCAAGGTTGCATTAGACCAGTTGGGCGTTATAAAAGAGCCTTTTTGCTTTACGGCTGACAACTGCAGTGTAATGAAAAAAGCTTTCAGCCAGCTCAAAAACTTGCCGACTCTTTGATGAGTCAGACAAGCCGATTCTTTGATGAGTCAAACCAAGGTTGCATTAGACCAGTTGGGCGTTATAAAAGAGCCTTTTTGCTTTACGGCTGACAACTGCAGTGTAATGAAAAAAGCTTTCAGCCAGCTCAAAAACTTGAACCTGGACCCTGATGAAGAAGTCAACACTGACATATCCGACGTGAGCCAGACGTTTTCCTTGTAGAACATCAACTTGGAGACGCTCCAGTCAGAGTTCGCTTACATGATTTCAAAATGCAGCCTGCTTTTAGCTCTGGATCAGTTGCAGAGTGCACGTCGAGTTATTTACTCTCGCCCATTGTCGAAATGAACAACCCACTTCTTTTTTGGTCGACTTATCCAGAAAGCATACAAAACTTCGTTTTCAACGCACTTTCTGTGAGCCCTGACACAGGTACTATCGAGAGACTTTTTTCTGCTAGCGGAAATATTCTCTCAAAAAAAGTATAATCGCTTGGGCGCAAAAATTCTCAAGAACCTTCTGTACTTACAAATTAATTGATTTAATTCCATTATAATTTCCTTGTTTGTTTTCTTAAAAAGCGATAAAAGAAGAAGAAGATGAAGAAGTGTAAATTCAATTTTTCTGAAAAGACAATAATACAAGTATGAAAACATGAAAAGTATCAATAGTTAGAGTTTCAAAGTATCAAACACCAGTTGTAGTCTAGGTGTAGTTGTTGTAGGTAGTATCAGGTAAGCGTTTAACATTCATAAATGAAAAGTGACCCTTTATTACGGTGTAACTCATGTTTATTGGGACAAATCTTTGAGAGGTCTCGGAATATAAGCTCTCTTAGTACGGTTCTATAACTTGGCTTCTAAATCACTGATTTTGCTACAAACCATTTGACCGGAATGAAATTTCGGATTCTAATTGATTTTCCAATGATTCTTCCAAATAATCCCGCGACCGCTGCGACCGCAAATAAAGCGACAAAAGCGGAGAGCTATAATTTAGAAAAGTAGTAAAAGCGAAAAGCGGCTTCGAAAAAAGCGGAAGCGGCGAAAAGCGGATTTTCCATAAGCGGTCAACTCACTGTTTCGGATGCATTGTGATCATGCCATTTCGGATGCTCTTTTTTTGAGTAACCAAGGGTTTTTGCCACTCGTCTGTTAACGAACACAACTCAAAAATTTTGAGAAGTTAAATTTTATAAAAAAAAAAAAATTTTGTTTCTATCGAAAAAAGCTAGTCATACAGTTTCCATATATCCAAAATCAGTGATTATAGATTTTCGTTTAATTTTCTGTTCCTATGCAATAGCGTGGAAAATGTATGATTAGCCGTTTTCCATATACGAAAATTGTTTGATTAGCATATTTCGTCAACCCGGCCCGGGCGCCCGTGTGGGCGCCGTTCAAACCTTTTCACTGGTATTTCACTTAAAATGCAAAAATTGATTTTATATAGACATTACATTTAAACTGAAATTAAAGGGCACCGTTGCCAAGTTTTGAGAAGAATCGTAAATTTCTTGTTTTGAAGTTGAATAATTGTAATTCCGCAATCTCTCATAAAACAATACGTCTTGTCTGAGTATTTGAACTTGAAACGAAACGTTTGATGTTCCGACTTTCCAAGAAAGTGAGGAATATTTAAACTCGTGATAGCTTTTTTTTAATCAGACGACGTTTATAAGTGACCAGCCGAATGTGCACAACTATAATAACCTGCCTTGAGTGCTTGTTGCTGCGGCGTTGACTTTTTTTATTCAGACCAATTCTCAAAAATATTCTCCTCGGGAGATCAATCCAAAAACCTTTGTGGTCCAAGAGTGGGCGTGCTCATCTCTAAACTATTCTGACTCCATTCATACCAAATTATCCGAGACCAATTAAAAGGCACTCGCAACATTCAGGGTTTTGCCCTGATCCGAGCAGTCTTGGTGGATCTACCATTGCTGACACAAAAACAAAATAGAGTAAAATAGCATTTAGAGAGTATACTTGATGGGTTATTGAACAAAACTCATATATTCTTAATTCAATTTTGGTCTTTGTCTTTTCAATTTCCCATTTTATGCGAACTATTCTATGAACATCGATTCAATATCCCGTAAAGGGAACTATCTGAAGACGGAGTTTCCTATAAATACCCTCATTTGTCCCCTCTCAAATCAATCGGGCAGAATGGCTTAAGGGCAGAAGGGTTACAAACAGCATGCATGCTACCTGTTTTTAGGGGTGTCCCACTCTTTAACCCTACGATATTTAAACACCCTACGAAAAAACAAGACAACAACAAATTGGAACTGCTCCAAGTACCAGACCCATAAATGCAGCGCAACAGCAATTACGGATGGAGAAAACTTTATTGAAATGAGGGGTCAACATAATCACGATATTTCTACGGGCAAACCTGATGCTCGACTAGTTTTGAAAAACATCAAGGAGCTAAGCGATAGTAACACCCCAACCGTCGCAGTCGCAACCGCCATTCAGCCCATTACAGACAACATTGCCACTCAACTAGCCCTACCATCCAAAGAAAATTTAGTTCGCACCGCACAACGAGCGCGCAAGCAACGAGAAGAAGCCTTACCAGTCTCCCCAGCAACCAGAAGTTTCGAAATAACCGAACTTTTCAAAAATTTTATAAGATTTGACAGTGGGCAAAATGATCACGAGAGGATTATTTTATTCGGCGACCCTGAAATGCTACGTGTGCTTGAAACATCCAACTTTTGGTTGGCTGATGGAACGTTTAAAGTCACCCCGAAAATGTTTTATCAACTTTACTCCATACACGTTAGTCTTTCAGGAATAGCCCCTGCTTGCATATATGCGTTCCTGCCAAATAAAACAGAAAAAACTTACCACCGTTTCTTAGAAGCTCTAAAAGTACTAGTCCCTGATAGTAGACCTGAAAAAATTTTACTGGATTTTGAGCGGGCCGCTATTCAAGCGTTTCAGAAAAATTTTCCCGAGACCAAGCTGTCGGGATGTTTCTTCCATCTTTCACAAAGTTTTATGAGAAAAATTGCGGAGCTCGGATTGAAAAAGGATTACGAAATTTACCACGAATTCGCAAAAAGGGGTTAAATTGTAGTGGGGTTATCTGATTTTGGGGTTATATGAGAGGGGGTTAAGAAAAAGGGGGTTACAAAAAACGGGGTGATAAGCTTGGGAACTGTTTTTAGGTAATACATAAAAGCACCTCCAGTGGCAGATTTAAGGAGGGAACTCGACCTCCATGCGTTCGAAACCGACGAACCAAAGGGCCCCCTATTTTAAAACATTTTTTCTCTAAGGGAAAATATACTAATTTTGAGGGGGAAGCGCGCGTCAAAAAACGCAATATTTTGATCCAAAATATCCAAAAAGTTGGAAAATTTGGTCAACATTGGGTCTGATAATGATTTGGGAGAGCTAGGAAAATCAATTTGGTCAACCTAAAAAAAAGACGACAGTTTTTTTGAAAATCACTCTCTCGAGAAAATTGTAGATCCATATATGAGCTCCTCTCTTTTTTTTTAATCATTTTTACTTCAAAACCACTAGATAGAATAAACAATTTTAAGTGACCGAAATTGTCGAAAAAACTGAAAAATTAAAAATCAAATTTCAACATTCCAGAAACTTCGAAAAGTCGCAAATTCGCATTAATTTGTTTTTGATCAATATGAGCCCTGTACGACAGCTCCCAAATGTTCCTTTAATAATCACAGGAACAAGATTAGATGATGATGATGATGGTGATGACGATGATGATGATGATGATGCAACTGTGGCACACAAAACGCATTTGTTTTCGAGACAATCGATGCCTCAATTCAAAATAAGCTGAAAAGATGGTTCTATAAGAGCGGTAGGGTGGCACTTAACTGTTTCTGAGTTCTTATGTCAAGAGTTCTGTACAGAAACTCTAATCCCCAGTAAACAATAGAGCGGAAGATCTTCCTATTTGGTCTGTTTTGATGGGATGCATAATTTGAGACAAAACAAACGTAGAATGAAGAGCTCTAGAATTTTCTAGAAGGAAATAAGTTATAAGTGACTCACGTGAAGGGTGCTCCAGGAGGAGTGATTCTGATTCCGATTCCAGATGCCTCATTCGCAAGCAGAACACTCACAAACTTGTTCGTACCCATCCAAAATAAGAAAACGTGGACGGCTTTATCACACTCTGGCAGGTCAGAAAAAAAAACAACTTACGTCACTCGTCAATAAAAGTTACACACACATTCAATTGAATGCAGAAAAACAAAGAAGCAGTTAACATAAAAAAAGTCACGCATTTGATTTAAATTTTCAAAACCAAATCTGGTATAAATTCTCTCAACTTATTGAAGTGAACAAAAGTATAATTGTTTGACTATATTGCTTAAAATATCTTAATATGTTATGTATCAATTTTTACTGTCCCAAGGTAAGTTTATTCATTTGTGAATTTATTTTTCTGCTTCCTACTTTCTGAAATTTTTATACGATAATAAGTTTGGCAGTTTCTTGAAATTTTGCAAAAAAAAATCGAAACCTTGCAAAAAGTTTCCAGGTGATCGAGGAGTCGAAAAATCTTAGTTAAATTTTTAGCGTTGCAGGAGAACTCAAAAGATCAGTTTGGTCAATCTAAGAAAAGCGGTCAAAATGAGGTTCATGAATTAAGAGAAAACTTTAGATCCGACCCAGAGCCTCCTGATTGAATGGTGCGCAGAAACTCAATCCTATTTTTCAAATCTTTTTCATTTATGCTGTTTACAGTAACGGTTGCAATTGTACTGCTGCTCTGTGCAAGCTCGCAGACATTTGGGCAGTTGCAAGACACCAGGGTCTGCAGCAACAACCTAGAGTGTCAGAGCTTTGCAGATGATAATAACAACGACAAAAGGTTCTGCTGCGACACCACCTGCAGTAGCGAGTCATGCATCGGAGCATCTGTGTAAGCAAAATTCAAAAACTAACATACGTTTTTGCGTCCCAGTCGATCAGTTACTCGGGCAAAAAAGTGAGGCAAATTTGGTAGTAATTTTGAAAACAAATAGAACCAGTTTGATATAGACGTTAACAAATTTAGGTTTGAACAAGTTAACCTTACTTTAGTTCGATTCTGTCAGAAAATATCTGAAAGGCTGCTTGTATCAGGGCTAACACGCGTTGAATCAGTGCTAACCCTCAACTTTAAATCGAATTAAATTGAACCAAATTTTTTGCGAAAATTATACCATAATGCACTATTCTTTTGTTAACCCTAAATATGTACAATCTATGTACACTAACTAGGAATTATAAAGAATAAGAACGATAAGGTGTCAATTAAAATGTCTGTTCTAAAACAGGATTGAATAGTGAAATGATCGACTGATAGTGACTCGTAACATAGTTGGCAGGTATCTAATCAATACCAAAGATCAATAGATCAAACAAAATGAACAACTCACAACATTCCCCAACGCGAAAAAAGAACTTACAATTAACCAAAACCAAACTCTATATACGCCCATTTCCCCCTTTAAAGTAGAGTAAACAAAGTTTACAAACTGCACAAAACAAAACAAAATGAAATGAACAGAACGAAATTAAGTATCTAAAATTTGAAATTGGTTTGAAAAATATGTACAATTGGGGAACTTTACAGAGTTTACTTAATCTACACTAATGATACATAGGGACTAAAACAATCTTTACTACAAAATGTACATCTTAATGTACACATAGATAAAGTGATAGGGCACATAGACAATAAAATCTTAAAATGCTTATGATGATAAAAAATGGTTTTTAAAAGAGTTGTTGAAGTTTTGATTGAATGTGGTGTCGAATTCGTCTAAAGAGTGTCTCACGTCTTGGTCAATAGACAAGGAAGTTTCGCTGATGGATTCGTGGTCTTTTTCGTTAATGAATTGAGTCGTGGACTTTCGATTGGGAGACTTCCACGAGGTTGACATCATGGACACAGAATGAGCGGCCACCGCTGGGTTTGAATTATTGGAGGACCAAGAAACTGTTGTTTCGGCGACCCTCGTCTGTATCTGAGGAGATTTAATGAGAGGAGTGAGTAAATCCGAAGTTGACCAACAAGAGAAGGCTGGGGGTGTCACTAAGTCTGTCTCGAGTCTGGGTAACGTCTCATTTTCCTCCACGTATCTGCGCTCCCCGTAAAACTGTGGGGGTCCTACATTTCCTCTAGGTCTGGCAGATGGTCTCGTCTGAGTCACCATGGGGGCGTCTCCTCTGGTGTGCTATTTAAGAAAATTGGTTTTGCTGCCGAAACAGATATTGATGGTTCCGGTAGTCTACTTGAATGGGCAGCGACCGTCGGTCCACTAGGCTCTTTAGTTTCTGGTGAGCAGGGTCTTTTAAGCACCTACAACACTCAAATCAACGTTGTAGTTTGAAGCTAATTCTTGACGAATCGGAATATTGTTGTTCGAAACGTCCTCGAAGTAAACATCAATCAAGCCATCCCAAGAATTTAAGTTTAACGAAGAAGACGAAGAAGATGAACCTGATGATTTCTGAGGCGATTCTGGAATGATTACCATTTCCGATGGGGTCTGCGTGGTTCCAGGCGTTGGCGTCGTGTTGCCAAAGGTCGTCCTCTTTAGATTGTTCGCCCGGATTGTCTTCTTGGGTGGCGACATCTTCCTTTTTCCAGCTGAACTTAGAGTTTTCACACTATCAGTACCCCTCAGTTTGTGGATTAACAAGGATTTTAGGAGAACCCGGATATATTTTTCCTTTATCGCTAGATCCAACTTTTGTAAAATGTGTCCATTTTCCAAAATAACAATTTGATCCGATGAATCAAGAATTGCCTCTTGACGATATCAACGATTGCCTCTTCAAAGCTCTCATAAAATGGTGCAGAGCATGACATAATTGAAAATTTCCACAAAAATTACCACAACTTTGCAAATAAAGATCGCAGATAATTTTTTTTTAAATTTGCTTTCAGGGAGTCGGTCTCTTTAATAGATGATTAAAAAATTGTTAAAACTAAAATTTTGACTGACAAAAGTTGACTGAATAAAAGAACCACCCCAAGCATAAACATACCATTTTCTTTGAAAAACGGGAAAAAAGCAGTTCAGACAGAAAAAACGCTTTGGTAGAATAAAATGCAAAGTATAAATAACGGTCAATTTTATGGAGATCGAGTTTTTGAAACTCATTGATATTTTGAAAAACAATAAAACCATTCTTTGATCCTTACTATAAATATAGTTTCCATGCTTAAACTACTTCTTTGTGGTACGTTTTTGAATAAAATTTGAGTGACTGAGATTTTATCTTAAGTAAATGAGGATTTTGTGATGAAGGGAAGGAGAGATTGTTCACTTGATCCGAATCCAAAACTAATATGAAAAATACAGGGGCGGATTTATAGGTTGCCTTAGGTGCCAATTTATACTAACTTTAAAAATTAGCCTGTGGCGCAAAAAAAGGTCAAAATGGGGTTCTTACAGTGATTTGTGAGAGGCTCAGAAAATCAATTTGGTCGACTTATAACCAAAATACCGACAAAGATTTCAATATTTTTGAAAGTCCACTCCCTCGTGAAAATCCTGAAGCCGCCTTTGGAAAAATCCTTTCCCCGGCATTCCTGAGCAAATCTTGGCCAAGGGAATGCTCGCTTCAGAGTCTGATGAAAAATCCATGTCTGCGTCTTCATATCCGTCCTTTGTCTCATTATGTAGCTCCCAGTTCCTCGCCCGACGGTCCGACATGATCAATTCTCTTTGATCTGAAGGATTATCAATAGAAATCAAGCATTTCTACCCTGTGTTAGTATTGCGATTAAAATGTTGTTCAAACGGTGTACATCCGTTGGACTGTTGTTTGGTAATTCGTAATTTCCTTTAATTTTGTCAACTTGGGTAGTTCGTACGACATAGCGAGAATTTTGGATTGTACAGTATATAAAAGACTCTCAACGAGTCCTTTTGATCTATGATCTCCTTTTGTTCGATAAAGATTTTTTATATTAAACTTTTTGCAAAAGGATTTAAAGTTGTGCGAAAAGAAGCATGACCCATGGTCGATGCTGACTTCTCTTGGAAAGCCGTGAAGACGGCAATAATCGTTCGAGAAAGAGATGACTGTATTTGACGACATATTGGTGACAAATTTTGGCGATGGAAATTTGGTAAAACGGTCAATGCAAAGAAGAATGCTCAAGTGTTCTCATCCCAACAAAACCTTAAAGAAGTTCTAACCAGCTTTTAGGCACTGCCTGCAAGACTTGCCATGGTGGCAGATTTCTCTGTAGATACGCGGCCACCAAATATATTTAGTCAAGAAATTCATGCAGAACTAGCCTGGGTGGGATCCGTGCAACATTGAGCTGAAAGCCCTTCGGACCGCTGCTGGTACCACAAGTTTGTTGTCCGTAAATAGCAGCTTGTCCCTAGTATGCAGGTCGCTCTCATAATTTTTTTTACATAGGATCTATGAATTCCCAGTGGGGGTCCGTTCTTCAGAGTTGTTATTAGGTCCCACAGAATTTTATTGTCCTTGGTCAAAATTTGGAGAAGCTGCTTGGAACAATAATTTTCCGGTATAAGCGGTAATGGTAAAGATAAAATTGCTTTAGACCGTTTTAATAAGGCCGCAACATCAATATTGAGGGGCTCGTCTTTACAATTTAAGGAGATATTATGTTCCTCCGGAACAATTACAAAAAGCTCTGAAATTTTGGTGATTGACGTACTCACTGTCTTTGATTTTTGTGGATTGAAATTTTCGTTAAGCATAATGAATTTTGACAGGGCCTTATCTGCAAAAAATTGCTTTTAAAATTGAGTTTAGAATTATCTATCAGAGGCATTTTGATGAGCAATTTTCTGATCTGTCTTGCAAATTATTACAATTTTTGAGCGACTCGGCTATACAAGATAAAGATAGCGGCAATTTGTCTAAGTTTAAAAGAAGCTAAAGAGCTATCGGTAAAATTTCGATCGCCGCTTGAAATATTTGTTCCCGACGGGAGATTAGAAGTTACAATTGTATTTACAGCGACCGACGGTCGATCTACAATTACTCTATTTACAGGAAAAAAATTAGATGAATTCAATAAAATATTACGATTTTTTTCGATAGAAGTCAAGACAAAATTTTCATTGTAGTGGGAAGGGGGTAAGACTTTGCCTGAAGATAATCTTGATAAAAAGTCAGTGAATGCCATATTTTTACCCGGAAGATGAAAAGTTTTAAAATTAAATGGTAAAAGTCTGTTTACCCATCGGGTTAATCTGCTGTGCATTATTTTGTTACTGTGGTTCGTCGAAAGCGCGGAAAGGAGCGCCCTGTTCTCTATAACAATTTCAAAATCCGAATCATATAAATAAATCTAAAGTGTTCACATGCCCAGACTACACCTTACAATTCTAGTTCGTTGGTGGTGTATTTAATTTCGCGGCTATTCAAAAATCTCGAGGTGAACGCAATAGTTTTCCAACCTCCCCTTGGAACTGTTCAAAAGTGGCTCCTAAGCCGTTATGTGAGGCACATGTTTCCAATCTTGATTTTTCTTCGATGTCGATATGGCTTTTCTCGGTAATTTTTACAATTTCAGAATTTAGTTTTTCAAATGCAAAAGAATGACTATTATCCCATTGGCACACTGAATTTTTCTTGTGCAAAGATCATAATGGGAAACTTAAGAAAGAAAGGTTCGGAACAGTTTTATTGAACTGATTGATCGAACCGAAGAATGAACGATGTTCAGCGATGTTTTTCGAGATAGGGAGGTTTTTTAATGCATCAGTTTTTCCGACCAAAAGTCTTACTCCCACTTCTGAGATCTTAAATGCAAGCCATTCTCTCTTTCTCGAAAAAAGCGCATTTCCCCATTTCACTGCCCTGTTGTTCTTGTCTAAGGTTTCCAATATTCTTTGCACAATAGCTTTATGTTCTTCCACGGTTCCCTTAGAAGCCACT